CAGAAATCTACAACAAGTCATCTATTTCTGAATTGCTTCAACCCCACAAGAGTCATGGAGAGCTGATGACTATCTCCTATTTTAATACTTAATACACCTTGCCTGCACCCGTCCCCCCTCTCTACTGTCCACTCCTTGTTCCCTACTCTCCATGACTAATGTCAATGTTGTTGTTGTTATTGTTGTTGTTAGCCTCAAGGGCAATATGCCGATTATCACTTGTAAGCCGCTTTGGACAAAAGCGTCTGCTAAATACATAAACATAAACATACTTTCCTGAAAAGAATCGGTTCAGGACTCGGTATCGGTAGATACTCGAAATCAAGTGACTCGAAATCGGACTGGGAGCAAAAAACGCAATCGCAACATTCCTAGTTATTGTCTTTCCGAAGAAACCCACTTTAGAAGACTTTACAGTCCGACACAAATGACGAGTGAAACAGTGGGACTGAGAAAAAAAAAGACGTGAAGAGCGGAGCGGAAGGACTCAAAGAGAAACAGTGATAGGAAGTGAGACAGGACAAGGGCAACTTAGGTTATTCTTGAAAATAATCAGCTGATTCTTGAGGGGGTGATAGCAACACCAGCACCAAGACACTACTGGTTTTGAGAGGGTGTGTTGTTTTTCTGGAAAAGTGGCAGCAGCATAATAGATGCCTTCTATTAAATCTATTTCAAGTTTTTGGTATTTTCATCACTTGTTTTTAAAAGGATGATGCCATTGATTCTCCTGCAGGAGAGACTGAGAATGTGAGTCAGACAAATTTGGGATCAATAAACACAAACACAACCAAAGCCAGACAAATACTTCATCCAAAAGCCAATGCTGTATCACTGCACAGAAAACAACCTTGAGCTTGGTGACTTGAATGTTCTTGCCTAAATGCTCCCCTGAGATGATAACTGAATTATTTAGATTCACCAGCTTTTAGCAGAGGATGCTTTTGTGTTCTGCTAATTTTTCCTGATAATTTGAAGGGGACACATTGATCATGGTCTAAACTCCTGATGTTTAGCAGTTTGTTATGTCTTCCTTTAAGTGACAACAAAGAAACATCAGTTTATGGTTTGAAACCCGAAAACAAGACTCTGTAAACTATCTCGCCAACAGTCAAAGTCAGTGTTTAGTTTGATCTCTCAGCTAAGAATGCATGGTTCATGTTTAACAGCAGACATGTCTCAGCGGAGGGGATCAGGCATTCCATCTTCACTTTGTCGTCGTTGGAAAGGAAAACTGTCATTAAAGCTTTACTGTCAGAACATCATCTATAGAAGACCATAGCTGTGGCAGAGTTGGCAGTAAAGGTAAAAAATGAGATGAGCCAAGCATCTGTAGAGCTCTCAGCTGTCTTAATCAAAGTACTTAGCAGTGAGAAATGAAACCTGTGTGAGTGATGCTTCAAACTGTTGTTTCAGCAACACAGCTATGTTTTCTAATCTGATGATTACAGGTAAGCTCATTTAGTGTTGTAAAGACTGTACATTACAGCCCGTCTTGTCTCACATGAAAGACTTTATGCCAAAAGTAACGGCTTACGTTTTATAAATGATGCAACTGAGCAACTTTTTCAAATAGATGGGACTTTTTGACAGTTATATTACTCGAATTTACACACACACACACACACACACACACACACACACACACTAACACACACACACGGGGGGGTTGGAGGACTTGTGAGACACGTTTTCCTCACATTGGATGAAGAACGGTTCAGTCCTGGTCCTGAAGGGTTACCACCAGCATGTTTTCTATGATTTTCTGCACCAACACACCTGGTTTGACTCAATGTGATTAACAGGTTTCTGAAGATCTTCAGAATCAGCAGAGGTGGCTCGCTCATTGAATCAGGTGTGATGGAAGAGCTGAAACATGCAGTGTTTTCTCAGTGGTTCTCAAACTTTTTTCTTGAGGACCCCCTTGCCCGTGTCAAAGAAAGTCCAGGACCCATAATCCCAACTCCTACACACATACACACAATAAATATAATTATTTACACACTTTATACAGACACACCCAGTCAAAACTTGTATATGGAGCTCTGACTATGCTGTAGGGTGTGTTATTGGGATTTTATACACGTAAATTTTACAAATAAAATTCCAGGGACCCCCTGCAATCTTGTGGAGACCCTCTTGGGGATCGTAGACCCCGGATTGGGAACCACTGCTCCAGGATTTAATAGCCCTGCTCTCTAGAATACTACAGAGAGGAAAGTGTTGGACGCTGTGACCGCAAGGACACCAAATCATCAGCTCTCCTCCACTGTGCTAACAGCTGGGGTGTGGTGCTGTACTGATGTCTCTACTTTGGTTTATTCTATCCAAAGATATGGTTCCAGGAGTCTTATGGTGCATTCAAATTTAATGTCTGCAATGCAATTGGACCAAAAGCAACTATTTGGACCATCCGGTTGACAGTTTCTCTGAACCGCCGCACTTCCTTGGGTCCTCCATTGCGTATTTAGCCACAGAACACCACTGGTGTGAGAGGTTCTCTGCTCAGTAATATCAGAGATGGAGAAACAGCCGGCTGCTACCACTTCAGCTTTAGGACAAACTACCAGAGTCCCAAAAGGAAAAACACCATTAGAAGTCACGGACAACAAGAGACGTTTGAACCTAGCTTGTCTGCAGATTCGCTGTAGCATCTTTCATAGAGAAGATTTGTTCTCCTGAAACCCACCTTTCTGACTCATTTCATATTCATCATGTTGTGAACTTTTAACATCCAATTTGTCTTTATTTTACCTTTGACCTCAAGGTAATTGTTCTGGTACATCTGAGATTGGCAGCTTTCTTAAACAAAAACAGTTTTTTTATCGTAGTAGGATGGGATCTGGAATGTTTTGAAATGACCTTTAACCCATCACAGATGGATGAGTGGCAACAATTTCTTCTCTATCATTGCTGATGTCCTTTGTCTTTGACATTGTGTTGACACACACCTGTACACTCCAGACCACCAAGCCAACAAATCACCTACATTTAAGCTGGAGCTAACTGTTTGATGTTCATTTAATCAACACTGATCCAATGATATTTTTTCTCTTTCAGTTCTGTGGAAGATGGACTTTGTTTTATGGAATAAATAATAGCATTGTAGAACATATCTTTGTTTTGTGTACATGCGATTAGGTTTGGTTCATTTCAGATCATCAGTTGGGCGGATCGGGTCAGCATCTGCAGTGATGCAGACACTAAATCGGACTGTTGTGGTGAAAAGAGAGCTAAGAAAGCATAGCCAATGTACTGTACCAGGTGATCTTCCATCTATGATCATGAGCTGTGGGTAACGACAGAACAAGATCCCGGGTACAGGCAGCTGAATTGGGTTTCCTCAGTCAAGTGGCTGGGCTCAGTCTTAGGGATAGTTTGAAGGACATTCTGGAGAGACTCAGGGTAGAGGCGCTGTTCCTCCATGTTTGAGAGAAGCCAGCTGAGGTGGTTTGGACATTTGGTGAGACTTTCCCCTGGACGCATTCCGGAGTAGGTGTTTCAGACATGTCCGGTCAGTAGGAGGCCTTCGGGTTGACTCGGGACTCATTGACGAGATTATATCTCCTCGTTGGCCAGGGAACGCCCAGGGATCTTGCTGGTGGAGCAGCTACCCCCACAACCCAGACTCTGATAAGTGGGTCAAAAAGGACGGACAGATGCATTTTAGATCATGTAAAGAACAGATGACTCCATTGTGGTGTTATAGAAAAAAACCTAGAACAGGAACAGGTTTGACTACTTTTCTTCTCTGTCTGGTAATCTCAATGAAATCCACCATGAAGACTTGATTGATTAAAAAAAACTTTAGTTTTAAAGTTGTTCCATCAGATGTCTACGATGTGCATGGTTTTGTCTGTTAATGACTATTGCTGTTGTATGTTTGCAGAGCTGGGAAAGCAGTCACCAGTCTTCAGTCACATTGCCAAGAGTGGGTTGATTGGGTCTATTAATAATACCATCACACTTGTCTGATGTTTCAGTGCAAGGAACAGTCTCCGAACATCTATCACAATGATGAAAATAATAAGAGTTTTTTGGAGGACTTGGGTTTGGTTTTTGAACATTAGACAGAAGATGTTTCGTCTAGGCGTTTGTGAGTGTGTGTTGTTATGTGGAGCTGCTTAAAGGATTCTAAGCTGTGAAAGCTGAAATGAGCCTCTTGATAATGGTGGTGTGGCACATTGAGCTTAATACGAGTTCATCCAGAATTTTAAAAGAGTTTTTTGTATTTCCTGTCTTGAGATGAAACGCTGTAGAAGCAGCCCTTCTGACAACACAAAGAGGATAATAAATCCTTAAAGACGACAGGGCCGGCCTGTTTTCAGTCTCACCTGGCTCTGTTTGAGTTACATTACATAAAAAAACGGGTTTTAGATGGTTTCATTTCAGTTCAAGCATGGCTGCCTGTTGTTGTTAGGCTGGGGGAGGAAGTCATGGGAAGTGTGTGTGTGTGTGTGTGTGTGTGTATGTGTGCATGTGTGAATGCTGCTGTGTGCTGTTTTTGAACTAAGCTGCTGGAGATGGCATTTTTGAATTTACGGCAGAGCGGTTTGCCTGTCTGTGCATTTCTTATTTTTTTCTTCCCCCTCAGTTCTCGACTTTTGTCGTGCTTAACAGCCCAGCTTCTGCACTACATTCCGTGTGTGTGTGTGTGTTTGTGTGTGTGTGTGTGTGTGTGTTTGTGTGTGTTAGTGTGTGTGTGTGTGTGTGTGTGTGTGTGTGTGTGTGTGTGTGTGTGTGTGTGTGTGTGTGTGTGTGTGTGTGTGTGTGTGTGCATAAGCGTGCATGATCTGTTTTTTCTATGGTAAAGATTGAGGTCAGCTTGGCTGGACTTTGGCTGCACTGTCCAGATAACCTGGGTTCTGAAAAGCCCATCACAGTGACACAACACCCCACCCCCACCCCCCCCACCCCCCGAGCTAACTTCTGCTGCATGATTTTTATTTTCCCACCTACCTCATCATTAATGATGATTTATCCTTTTTTTTAACCCTCAGATAAAGAAGTGTCCCTCTCTACCCAGTCTCCGGCGGTGCCTCCTAGCAGCACGAGGGAAGGCAGTACAAAAGGCAAAAGTCCCGATGTCACAGCAGGAGGTTTGCTACACTCTGTGCTGGCTCAGAAAGCACGACTTGTGTCCAAGAAAGGGGAGCTCGTCCCCTCTGCACTGCCCCAGAATCTGCTCCCTCTTCTGGGCAGAGGACTCAGTGTCAGCTCCCTTTCTGGAAGACCTTCCCTCGAGCATCAAAGCGGGGGATTACTGACAAGGGTAAAGTCCCCAGAATCAGCTTCAGAGTCTGGCCAAGGCAGCCTTCCAAGTCAGCCAACTCCCACAGACACACACACTCAGCTGCCTCACACACAGACAAACACACTAGAGCCAGAGGCTAAGAGCACCACTGTGGGAACCATTCTGGATGTGGATTCAAGTAACGAAACACCTTCACCAGGTAACACTATTGTGTGTGTGTGTGTGTGTGTGTGTGTGTGTGTGTGTGTGTGTGTGTGTGTGTGTGTGTGTGTAATCTACACAATCTAGTTTTCTAGCAAACTGGACATGTTGCATTTGTACTCCTATCAGCTGATGCTTTTTGACCCTCTTCGTGCATTTATATCTTGATCTATTTTTCTTAGACACACAATTATTACTGTTTAGACATTTATTATATTTCTAAAGAATATGTGGTTTTGATTATGAGGGTCTAATTATCCACAATCAAAAATGCACATCAAATAAGAACTCAAGTTTGAGAAAGATAAATAACTAAATGTATTTACTTTGAAACAAAAATCTTGCCTAATCTACTTGGAGTATGTGTTTTTTAATGACCATTAACTAAGAACTTTCATTGCTACACCGACGGCACACAGATTGAACCCACCACCGCAATTCCTCCTACCTGTTTCCCCACCTGTCTGGAAGACATCTAGAGCTGGATGAACATGAACTACCTTAAATGAAATGAAATAAAGCAGAGGCCCTGGTCATCAGCTCTAAATCTTGCATCACCAAACTCCAACTCGCTCCACCTCCTCCCATAGTCCTTGATGGGCATCCTGTCCATTACTCCACACAAGTCAAAAGTCTCAGGGTGATTCTTGACAACACCCTTTCATTTGCACCACATGTTCGCAGCATCACCCGGAATATCTTCTTCCACCTTGGCAACATCTCCAGAATTCATTCATATCTGTCCCATTCTGACACTGAAATCATGGTTCATTCATTTGTCATTTCCCACAGCAACTACTGCAATGCCCTGCACACTGGAGTTCCTACCAAACTCAGGGATGGACTGCAAATAATTTAGCTGCCCAGATTGTCACCGGCACTAACATCTCAGAACATATCACTCACATTCTAATCAAATTTATTTATTTATTTATTTTCTCGTGTCCTGTCTGGCTATGACGCAAACAGAATTAATGTCTGAATGCTGGTGACAAGCCTTACAGATTTACTCTCAGGTGGAGCATCAAAGCTTCTGCTTTTAGTGTCACGCTGTCACGTTGCGAGTTAGGAGGAGGTTAGGACCCTAGATGCAGAATACCCCAGATGACACGGGGCAGAAGCGGTTTATAAAGTAAAATTCATTTTATTAGGATGAGGAACAAAAAATCCAAAGGGCAGGAAGCCAAAAATCAAACTCCTGAACACCAGGAGAACGAAAGCTCACATAGAACACAAAACCATGAGCTGCCCCAGAGCGCATGGACCCTGGGAAGACTGCAACCAGAAAAGCCCCTGCCCCCCTCAAGAGGCGCAGAGGATTGCCCCCGGGGGGGGGGGGGGGGGGGGGGGGGGGGGGGCACAACCAGCAGCCGGCAGAGTCCCGGGGGATATCAGCGGCAAGCCCACAGGCCCGCCCGCAGCCTCCCACCCCCAAGCCGGCCAAGCAGTGGCGGCTGGCCAGTAGAGGGCGATAGGGCGCCGCCCTCCCAGTTTTTCCGTGTTTTTAATTTTTATTTTAAAAAATAAATAAATAAAATTAACAATAATCACATATTCTAAGTTAATTGTGTGTTTTGTAACAAAAATAAATCATATATATATATATATCTATATTGGTCTCTGCCGGTCTCTGCCGAGCGGTGGAGGCTGTGTGCTGTTTTTCAATCGCCCAAACAGGACGAGACCAGCTGTCCAATTGCTGACAAGAATATCAAAGGGTAGGAATGGGAATGTATCCAATCAGCGTCGACGTTGTTTCAGAACGTTTCAGAAGCATGATGGGCGATGGAGCTACCGCCAAAGGATTCGTTGGTGTTCGGTAGAACTCGGCAGAGTCGTTTTTGGTCGTGACGCAGATGTAACATGGACGCCGCCGGTGACTACAACCAGCATGGATACCGGATCTCAGCAGCCACTGAATTCAGTTCGGTCTCCTCCAGTATCCGTTCGAGAGGAGAACTATGGTGGAAAAACTTAATGTCAAAGAGCTTGGACCAGATCAGCCCGACGTAAAGATAAGCCAGCAGGAGAAGGAGAGAGGTAAACTGTACACACTAGGCTTCTCCCAAAATTGGCTTGGCTAGCTGGATGCAATCACGCTAATGCGTTATTTTGCTTTCCGTGTTTGTTATTCAAAACGGCTGGGACAGATAAGGCATGGATGAGTCAGGAGTTACAGACATGAAACATTTTTCTGAGAAGGTGAAGAAACACGAGTCATCCCGGGCACACATGGACAACAACACGGTGAAGCTAGCCATGCTAGGCAGCAGAGCTAACGTTGCCATGCAGGGAACAACAGCAGCTGGGTGCAGAGGTAAGCTGTACATTACATTTCTGTGAACAAGATAATCAGAATCAGAAATCCTTGGTTGTCCCACAAACCGGGACATTTGTTTAATAACATGTTTAATGTGCAATAACTGTAAAAACTAATTTCAACACACATACTTATTATACATATTTAATCACGTAAATGTGTATTTCATGTAAATTTGTACATACATCAATCTGATTCCATTTTACTTGTTACACTTCTGCTGCAGCAAACAAATTTCCCAGCTTTTGGGACAATTAAACATTTCTGATTCTCAATCAGATGTTTTTACCTCAAATGTAAAAACATCTGATTGAGAATCAGGTTTTATTTTCCCAAAACTGGGAAATATGACATTTGTAAGAGGATACTGATGACATTATTTCCTATGAAAGTGTTTCCTATGTACTTATCTGTTGATTTTTATTTATCATATGACAGGTTTTTCACACCATCCTGAGCCATGCAAAAGAAGATTCTTGTCACCACACCCATGACCACAGCCGAATCAGAAAGGTGCTTTTCTACTTTAAAGAGGATTAAGGCTTTCCTTGAGGAACACCATGACACAGGATGGGCTGAATGCTCTTGCCATGCTCTCCATGGAAAAAAAAGCTTGTCACAAACATTCCTGACTTCAATAAAAAGCTAATCGAGAGCTTTGCCACTCAGAAGGGCAAAATTTCTGTACAAATGAGGTATCACACACACAAATGCATCCACTTGATCTTTGTATAAAGTTGACCTTGGCACAACACTCCAGAAATATTTAACAGTGTAAATTTCTGGCGTTTTGTCTAAGTGGTGTTTACTACCATTACTGTAACAGTGACCTGCTCATAATTTTTCGTGTTCACTCAAATGTTGAAATTAAACAAAATGTTTTTGTTACTTGCCTCTTGCATTGCCTATTTACCATTTATGGTCATGTTATTTTATGTGCAATTTAATGCAGTATTTTTCAACCTTGGTCTGCAAGGCAGCGTGCCAATAGTCAGACACACCTGGATTAATCAGTTTGTCCAATGATGTAAGACAGGAAATAAAAGAGCTGTGCTTAATTCAGGAAATAGTGAAGTTGTGCACAAAGCTCAGAAAGCACAAGTTTGTTTAAAAATAAAAAAATAGCACAGCCCCACCAAAAACATTTTTCACCAGCCGCCACTGCGGCCAAGCCCGGAACCCAGCAACTCCGGACCCAGAGGCGACCAGCCCCGCCGGGGACCCAACAGAGCTCAGGGATTCAGATCCCACCAGTGTTGGTAAAGTTACTTGGAAAAAGTAATTAATTACTAATGACTGATTACTTCCCCCCCAAAAGTAATCCCATTACTTTACTGATTACTTATTTTCAAAAGTAATTAGTTACTTAATTACTTAGTTACTCTGTGAAAATATGAAACATAACCTGACTAGCCTATATTCCGTCATATAAAATTCAATCATGAAACAGTCTGTTCTTAAATTTTTTTTTATTGGTTTTAACTTTTTACTTTACAAACATTGCATGAAGAAAAAGCTAAATAAACAAATGCAACCGGCTCTGATACATTCAAAGAAATTAGTTTAATATATAAACCTGTTTATTGCACATTTCACCACAATTTAAGAAAAATAAATAAGGTTTTTTCTTATATTTATGCACATACCTGCATTTAAAATGACTAACTTTTGCAGTGTTTAAACTTAGAGTAACTTCAAGTGAAATACAACTAAAATAAATAAAAAATACACTATAGAGCTCCGGACCCCATGTGACTCAGTTAGTAGACGCCATTTTGGCATGCAAAAAAGGTAAACAAACACGGATGTAACCATGAACATGAATGGGATCCGCTTGGATTTTACTTCGTCGGAGTTTACTTCACACTTTAAAACAGAAGAAATCGTTTTATATGGTCAGAAATTAAATAGACTAAACATCTCCGACCCTTACCGTGCCCCTGGGATACTTTTTAAAAACGCCAGAAGCTGTCGGAGCGGCACAACACCGGACCTGGCCGGGGGAACCCCTTGGGATTCCCCCGGCCGGAGGAGCTGGGGAGAGGTCTGGGACTCTCGACTCTACTGCCCGCTCCGACGCCAGAAGCTGTCGGAGCGGACTTCTTACCGGCACAACACCGGACCTGACCGGGGAACCCCTTGGGATTTACCCGGAGGAGCTGGCTCCGGCGGCTGGGGAGAGGGAAGTCACGCTACTGCCCCCGCAACCCGACTCCGGATACGCGGATGAAAATGGATGGATGGACGGACAAATAACAGATTTACACGTAAGTAGTCTCGGTGAGACAGATAACAGCAATCCAAAGTGCTTTTTATGTGTGATCTGACAATTGATCAACCATTGCTTAAAAATTAAATACAGCTTAGCCGGTTAATTGCTGTCATCATAAAACACGTAAACGGCAGCACGCAGAACTCACAAGGCAACGTTTTACGTGATGTTTACTTGTTGCTATGAGTAATAAGACAGAAAAAGCCACGCCAAAATAAGTTTAGGAAGCCCACTAAGAATCGTAATAAAAGCATTTAAAATAAATACCATACACAGTTGAGGAAACGTTGGTTTAAGTACCTGATATGAAGTGGTCGCTGCATAAGCGAAATCCTTTACTCTCGGGATCCCACGGTTTCATTTTAGCCCGGTCACTAGCGCGTTTTATTATAATGATCCAACGTTTGCGGCGCTCCGGATCTTGGGGAATCCTGTAGATGGCTCATTCCTTATGTCGTCCGTGTCTGTTCTGCATCCTGGGGCACAACAGGAATCTACCATATTTCCCGTTTGATTGAGTTTTCTGACAATAACAAATAGTCCAGCTGCCGGCTTCTGCATGCCAATATGGCGCTGTTTCGATTTGAACTGTTGCATGCCGGGAGAAATGACGTCAACTACCGGAGCTCTATTCCATTTAATAATTTTTTTTTTAAATTGGTGAAGTGGAACTTAGAGTAATGGCATAACAACCAAAACAGAAAATTCAGTTTCAAGCTACATTTGTCAGTGTACTGTATATGGCTAACCAAAAATATGTTATTTTCAATTATGTTTTCACTTCATGACTTATGAATATCTATCAAGCAAAAACCTGTAAATGTAACTGACTTCAAAACAGTTAAAGCAATCCTTTTTTTAAACATAAAAACCTGTTTTCTGCACATTCCACTGTCTCCTTCTGCATATTCTTCCATATAAAATAAAGTAAAACATTTTTGTCACATTTACACTCACCTTTTAAAGCAAATCCAACTAAAACATTGCCAAAAATAATAAAAATAAATAAAATTCATGTTTCTGCCATACAGTATGTTTAGAAGTTGCTGAAGTGCAAAGAGGACGAGTAATACTAATTCTACAAAAAAAAAAAAAAAAAATTCTGTTCCATGCTACATTTAGACCCGGTCTAAAATTATGACTAACCTAAAATTTACCAGATGTTTTGTTTTCTTTTGGAGTGAAGCAGTGGTTATATCGCATCAGCAGAAGCTTCTCAAACCTTCTATCAGATAGTCGGTTTCTTTTCGGGGAAAGCAGCAATCCACCTAAGCTAAACAGCCTTTCCACTGGTGCACTGGATGGAGTTGGAGTGTTGTACTTCATGTAAATCTTTTTGACAGTTGGAAACTGATTCAGAATCTCAAGCTCATGCCCTGACCTTACATAGTCAGTTACTTCATTTTCTGCTGAGAAGGATTCTCTGGGTTGGATCTCAAAGTCAAAAAAGTCCATCTCATCTGGACTGGCTGGAGGTTGGGAGTCTTGGGGAACATCAGCAGTTGCAGCAGCAGCAGTTGTACAACACTCTGTGATAAGAAGCTCCTTCACCTGCTCTCGGCTACACTCATCTCTCAGCCAACGCAGCTTAAACTTTGGACAGGTGGCCGCTGCAAGACGTCCTTCTTGGCTCTCCAGAACAGCATTATAGCGAGTCTTGATGGTCTGTAACATACAATAAGATGTATCTAAGAATTTACGTATTTTATTATATGTTATATTTACAATTATTTTCTCTTTTAGATTATTGTGATAATAATTTGAATGAGATTCATTTATTTTTATGTAATCTGACCACTATTTTAATCTTTTGTTGATATTATGAATAATGTTCATCATTAGTAATTGTTTTTAGGTTAGGTTTTTGATTCTATCATTTTAAAATGTGTAAACACTACTTAACACACAGTAAAACATTCAGGGTAAGTGTCTTTGACATCAGACTTGTGAGTGTTGGTAGTAGAGCTCCATAAGTGCACTCATCTCCTTGCGAGATGTCCAGAGCTACTTCATCACACTGATGTATTCTTTCAAGAACTGATACTCCTTTTCAGTAAAGCACTTGATTCCCAGTTTTACACACAATGGATTAAGTTCATTTGAGGGTATAGTGAGGATTCTTGAAATTGCTTCATACAGGGAATTCCACCTTGTGGTTGTAGGTACCATTAGCTTCCTGCAGCTGATTTCCTCCACCTGTTCAGCAGCTAATGTCGATCGACTTGCTTTAGTCCAAAGAGCAGAGCACTTTGCCATGCTGCTCCTGTACACACTCTTGGTTTCTGCACTGGAGTTTAGAGGTTTCTCAACATCACTTGTTGATATCAGGTTAATGGTGTGTGATGCACATCTGTAATGTGGAGGCAGGCTAAACTGAACTTCAGTAGATGGGGCTGACAGAACATTTATGACATCTGTAAAAGTTGGTTCCTCCTCATCATCCTCTTTTTCAGATTCAGACTCCAAATCACAGGACTGATACGTTCTGAATGCTTTGGCGAATTTGGATGCGTTATCTGTTACTGTGGCAACAACTTTGCCATGCAACCCGTATGTGGAATGAATTTCTTCAATCTCTGCTCCAATCACATCAAATTTGTGGCTGCCTTTAATCCTCTTACATGCAAGGGCTGCCTTGTTGTGCTGTAAAGTGGAATTAATCCAGTGAACTGTTACACCCAAGAAACTTTTGTTATTCATCATCCAAATGTCAGCAGTAGTGGAAACAAAGTCTACGTCTTCGTGTTGCCTTAAAATTGGAGTTCATAATGTTATATTCCCGCTCAAGGTATTCTGAGAATGACTTTCTCTGGGGTAGTTTGACACCACTTTTAGTCGGAATTTTGTCTATGATTCGTCGGAATGATTCAGAATCCACAGTGGAAATAGGTAACATCTCCTCCACTACATAGCCAGCGACAAGCTTTTTCAGTTCGGCGGCACCAAGTCCGGCGGGTTTTACATCTATTTTCACCTGTTTACTAGCAGTAGGGCCGTCTGATGTAGCATCCACGTTAGCAGCTGCAGCTGTGATGCCAGTCGGGCTCTTGGTGAGCTTCACATTCCCATGCCGGTTAGCTAGGTGCTTGCTAAGGTTGGAAGTTGAGTTTTTCGCTTCAGATAAAAGTTTCCTTCCAACGCAGAGTGTGCAGCAGACACCAATATTTTTGTCGTTTTTTACAGAATCAAACTGAAAGTTGTGGCGATACTTCCAACCATCAAACATCGAACGCGCATGCTCTCTGTCACGCTCCATTGTTCTCGTCTGTTGTTTTCTATCATAGACGGCGCACACGTTTAGACGTCATCGTCAGGAGACGCGCTTTACTCAATTGAGTAACGCAGTAACACAGCCTGCTTGCACCAAAGTAATGGCAGTTTAATTACATTTTTGCCATTGTAATCCCTTACTTTACCCGTTACTCAAAAAAGTAATTGGATTACTGTAACGCGTTACTGCCCATCACTGGATCCCACCAGGCCCACCAAGATTAATCTGGCAGACGCCAAAAATCTTAACCCCCCTGACCCGGGAGCTATAGGATTCCTTTACTTTTCTAGTCCGGAAGGTTAATCATTTTGTTATTATGCAAAATATCAGGATTATTCCAGATAG